AACTCACCTTGCCGCACGAGGAAGTGCTTGTGGCTGCATCCTATCTAGAGGGTAGTGCAACACGATGGTTGAGCGGTTTAGTGCAACTACAGGGGTACGGTCAAGACTTCCGCGCTTGGGCAGCCCACCAGAAACTGGAGGACTTCCTCAAGATGGTGGAAGAAAGGTGGCATGATCCTCAGGAGGCCCAAAAGGCCACTGATGCGATCTTGACACTGCACACGAGGCAGTTTAAGTCAATAAGGGAGACCACCGACGTTGTAGAGCGTCTGATCTGTGTCCCTGGGGTGTGCTATGACCCCCAGGTTTTACTCACCTCCTACCTGAGATGCTTTTCGATGCCTCTCAGGACTCAGTTGGCAGGTGAGGCCAACATCAACGTTCACAACTTCCCCTCGTTCAGCAAGAAGGCCCTAGATCTTGAAGTAAAGATAGGGCATGGACATAATCCCACAATGGACGGTAGGAAGAAGACACTGCCTCCTAACTGGAAGGCGAAGGGCTGCATTATGTTTGTCGATAACGATGGTTCAACCATCGAATTAGACGACAACTTCCAGGAAGGAGTAGGTTCAGAGGCTGGCAGCGTAGAAGCTTCAAAGGGTGGAGTAGTCGCTGCCGTAGCTCAGAAAGGTAAGGCGACCGGTAGACGCTGTGGAGGTTCGCGGTCTAGGAGTCCATTTGAACCTAATGCTCCTCCATGGGAGAAAGCGGGTCTCACAGAGGACGTGTGGAGAGATCGGTATTCTCGGCAGGCCTGTATTCGTTGTGGCCAATATGGCCATAACCAATTCAAGTGCCGCAACAAGAAAGTGACCGATAAGATCCCGCCTACGATGGGACAGGTTTTGGGATCCTCCCATCCTGCTGGTAGCAATGTAGCTAGTACTTCTGGCACTGCTCCAGGAAACACGTCGGGCCAGTAGGAATAGTAGTTGTTCCTGCTAGGGTCGAGGTGGTGGACACACCCTCACCATCTCGAGAGATGGCCCAAGCTACTGACTCCAGCGTCGTCCCGCAAACACATTTAGACCCATCGAGCCTCTGTTCGATGAATGTGGTCGAGTTCTTAGAGGAGCTAGAGGAGGAGTGGTCTAGATCAGACCCGCTAGCTTCTTGGACAGCCCTAGTCAAAGCCCTGAAGGGTGAAATGTTCGTCAGTGAGGTGGTCATTGGCGTTCGCAAGGTCGGGGCCTATTATGACACTTGCTCGACTAGGAACTTTATCAGTCCCGCGTGCGTTGAGAGGCTGCGCTTACAGGGGTGAGTGCATTGCCAGAGTCGACCTCTGGAGTCGACTTGTGCCAACAAACAGCGCATGGTAGTCAATGACTACCTCAAAGATGTTGAGTGTTGTTTCCCGTACGCGGGAGGGGAATGGAGACATCACGTCTCGTTCCTAGTGAGTGACAAACTCCCCATGGATATGTTGTTAGGAATGTACTACCTCTCTCTGGCACAGCCCCAGTTTGACTGGGACCGAAAAGGGGCCAAACACACTTTGCCAGGTGGAGGGACCGCCAGATTGCACAAGTTCAAAGCTAGTTGTCTGATCGAGTCCCAAGGATGCATGTGTGCGACCGCGTTCTATAACTATTATAAGCAAAATCAGGGGGAGGGTATGTACCTAGTTTATGTCTCTGCTGCAGGCGAGCCGGTGAAAATGCCGTCGGAGATAGAGGGAGTGGTTGCCAAGTACCCTGATCTATTTGAAGAGCCGACAGGGGTTGTAGAGAGGGAGGTCGTCCACGCGATAGAGATTATCCCAGGGTCTGGCATCCCGAAGGGTAGGATCTATCGGATGTCTGTCACATTTGCTAATCGAGAGGGGCGTCGCACAGCTGCGAGTTCACGCACCTTTGTCGGACACGGGAAAGTGTCCGACAAAGGCGGTGGGGACGAATGGGATGAGCGGGAGGGGGGGCGGTGGAAGGGTGAGGACCAGGGCAGTGGACGGGGGGAGGGGCAATGCGAGGAGCAAGAGAGGGACCAGCAGGAGGAGGAGGAA